TTGTTCCTCTTGACCTAGAAACTGTAGTCTCAAAGCTTGATGTGCAGCTACGGACGCTAACACCGGTTGAGGAGGCAGCTGAACCGTCGACCCCTTGGGCTTCAAAGACCCCAAAGACTGTGCTTGAGGCCCAATCTCAGTCTGAATACCTTAAAAGACGGATTAGAAGGCACCAAAGCAGCTCTCCAGAGTTAATTCTTGAAGCATTAAAGTCTCTTGCAAAGGGAACAAAGGCAGTTATGCATAAGATGGCTCTTGTAAGGGTAGAGGTCCAAGATCTTTAATAGGCAAATAAGATACTAAGCCGGCGCCGGAGGGCAAAAAGGACTAGATTATAGAAAAGAGGGGTAATAACGGTAGAGGAAGGAAGGCAAGCAATTGATTAAATGGATGTAGATGTACAGATAGTGGCCGAATCGTTGAGGAGTAGTGGTTGAGGGAGGTCGGTTGGACTGGGTATTCGGCGATGTAGTATCTGTGGCAAGCCCGGGTATAATACAAGAACTTGCCAGATAGTGATTGAGATATCTAGGGAAGAGTATAGTAAGTAGTTTTAATTAATTAAATAGTCTGTGGTATTTTTATAATAGTTTTTAATTTTAGGGGTAAGGAAAAGTATCCTACTTGCTTGTCTGTTCTACTTACTTATTATGTATGTTAAGCTATATTAATACTTAACTTTTAGATTATTTTAATAAGGGAGTTAATAGCTTAGTTAGTTTTTAGTTAACTTAATAGTAGAAAGAAATATTTTATATTCTTTTTTAAGAGCCTTTTATTTAATATAAATTCTCTTTTCTAGAGTTTCTTAATTAGGTTTTTAAATTTCTAGTCTTATTTAAATAAGGATATTATAAAATTAACTATATTATTATAAATCTTTACTTATAGCTTTTAGATTAAAATATTCTTCTATCTATATATCTAAATAATAACCTTTTGGGGAAGAGTATAGAAAATAGTATAGAAATTACCTTCTTTAAATTTCCCTTTATTCTAAAAAGCCTTATATAGCTTTTAATAGATCTTAAGCTAGTTAAGTATCTTAAGGTTAGTTACCTTTTTTATAAATAGAGAGTTTATTTTTAGGATTTTTTTAAGGGGTTAGAGCTATTATTTCTTATCCTCCCTCTTAAAGTTCTTTAGAAGCTTTATCTTAACTTTCTTCTAAGTATTATATTTATAGGCCTTTTTTACTTTTAACCTAATATCTTTATAGAAAAAATAAATTAATAGTATTTTCTTTTTCTTATTAATATAAACTCTATTTTTAATATAATTCTTAAATAACTATATAAAGCTAGTAATATTAGTCTTTTTAAACTTATATTTAAATATATAAATAGGAATAAGAAATTTAATTTATTATCCCTATTAGCTTCTAAGCAGCTTTATTATTTAGATTTATCTTAAAATAGATATTTAACTTTAAAGAGTCCAGTCTTATAAAGATAACTCTATACCAGCTAGAAGAGTAATAAGCTATAACTAAGCCAGTTTAATATATTAAGTTAGGGGGTAGCTAGTTATATTCTTAAGTATCTTATTTAATACTTTTCTCTTCTTCTTCCTCCTTTTTATTTTAGTAGTAGTATTAAAATTATAAGTATAGTTAGAGAAATTTTAATCTCTTAAAGAATAATTCTTTTTTATAATATAGCCTTAGCTAATTATATTAAAATAAATATCTAATTGTAATAGTATTTTTTTATATAGAGAAATATATAGCTAGAAAGAATTTATAAATAAAAAATAAAAGAAAGTTAAAGAAGAATTAAGTATCTATCTTAAGTAAATATAGGTTATAATAATTATAAAAATCTCTTAAAAATAGCTAGGAGTAATAAAGGGAATTACTACTAATAATTAAGGTTTTTACTTAGTATTCTTTTATACTTCTTAGTAAAATCTCTTTTATAGGGTAATTATTATAATAAAGATCTTTTTTAGATATTGTTAATTTCTCTTTTTTTCTCTTTATTTCTAGAGTTAAAACTCCCCCTCTTATATCTTTCCCTCTAAACTTTAAAATTCTAATATAATAGATAGATAATAAAGCTAGTATAGCTAGATCTTAGTTTTTTATAAATATTAAGTTATAATTATTACAACAATACCTTTCTATCTAACTAATTTCTATATATTCTTATTTAACTAATAGCTTACTAAATAAAATTAGTAATCTAAGCCTTAAATAGACCTCCTATAGGTATAATTATCTAAAGATATTATTTATAAATACTTTCTAAGCTAATTATACTTTCTTTTTTAATCTAGCTTTAAAATTAAAAAGTTAGTATAGTTATAGTTAATATAGCCTAGAGTTTAAATTATTATAAATATCCTCTCTTATAAAAGTATCTTAAATAGAATATCTAGCTTCTTATTAATTTAATTAGACTTTCTAGACTCCCTTAACTTATAGAAAACTCAGAAAGATCTTAATCCCCCTATCTTTTCTTTTCTTTCTTCTTACTCTTTTTAAGTTTAATAGCTTATAGTATAGAAGTATATTAATTAATCCCTCTAATAAGTAAGATTAATTAATTTACCGCCCTATTATAACCTTTAATTTAACAGTAGGAAGGGACGGAAAATAATACCTAACTTATTAACTTACCCTAAGGGGAATATACAGAGAGTTGTTGTATAGGTATCTTAGCCAGTCAGCCTGAAGCTACATCAAATTACGTATATAAGGTCAGATCAGTCTGAGGCTTATATCTTCTAATAGGGAAGTATCTTATAAGATAGAATATCGAGTCGGTTGCAGGAAGGTTTACTGGTAAGGCATTAATGGGCCTGCAGCAGCCCGATATCTAAGGGCAGTTAAAGATAGAAGTTAGATAGGGATTGTAGTAATGGCAAGAAGGCTTAAATAAATCTCTTAAAAATAAAGGCAATTAATTAATAGACTCCCTAGCAGCCTCGAGCCCTTCTAGCCTCTCTAACTTCTAGGAAGAATCTCTGATAAAAGGAAAAACGATGATTTTCCCAGTAATGGTACTAACCTCCCTTTTTAATCCTATCTAGGTTACTCTAGAGATATCCCTGCTAGCAACTAGCTAGCCTAAGTGTCCCTAACTGCCTGTTATATTACTATATATATAAGAGAAGTTTAGAATATAGTAGAGTTTATAGTTAAAGTTCTTTATAACTATAAGTAAATTAGATAGTATATCTAGGTATTTAAATAGAAGTTTAGTATCTTTTATCTTAATAAAGAGCTTTAAATTATAAAAGTCTTATAATTTTAATTAGTATACTATAGTAAGAATATAGTTCTATAGTTAATTTAAGTCTTATAGTAGTAGGAAATAGAATATCTATAGTTAGGTTTAATAATTAGAAGTCTTAAATAGATAATCCTCTATCTAGAGAGTATAGTAAGTAGCTAATATATAATAATAACTTATTAGTAGGTATTAAAGTTAATTAATACTATAAACTTAATAAATAGTAGAATAGAAAATATTATTAATTAGCTAATAGAAATTACAGTAATATAGTAAGTATAAAAAGAATAAATAGAAAGTAATAAAATTAGTATCTTTAACTTTTATAATAATAAAATATAGTATATTTTTAAGTTAGAATAGAAGTAGTTAAGGTTACTTTATATTAAAAGCTATATAATTTAAGATTAGGTAAATATCTATCTAAATATTTTACTAATATTATAGAATAGAATAAAATTATATTCTATAAATTGCTACTACTAAAGAATTTATAAAGTCTAAGAGGCTATTAATATTAAATAAAATAATAGATAGAGTCTAAGAGGCCTATTTAATATAGAAGCAAGCCTACTTAAGCTTACTATTAAAGTTTTAAGTTATAAAATTAAAAAATAATACCTACTATTAATTTAGAATAAGTTCTATTATCTTACTATTAATTTTAAAAGTAAGAATATACTATTTATTAAATATATAAAATATATTATAGAGGATTAATTAATTAAATTTATAGTAGTTATTTACTCCCTTAGCTTTAATATATACTATTAGAAATTCTTAAAAGCTTTAGGTATTATAGCTATATATTTTAATAAGAAACTGCTAAATAAACTTCTATATAGTATATTTTATATTAATATTAGTATTATTATTAGCTAGATCTACTTACTTCTTAATATAAATTTATAGGCTTTAGAATTATCTTTAATCTTTATACTCTTTAGTAGAGTAGAGGCTAATTAATTTCTTCTTATAATAGGAATCCAGCTTAATAGTATTAATAATAGGATTACTAACTTTCTAACTAGAGATAGTAAAACTATTATAGATAGAAATTTTATTTTCTTTAAACTCCCCAGTATCAAATAAAAGATCAGCTTCTTTAAACTCCTTAATATTAAGTACTAAGTTATTATCTTCAAACCCCTCTATATTAAATAATAAATTATTCTCCAGTCTGGATAATCTATTCCCTCCTACTAATTTAATTATATCAAATAATAGCTCGGCCTAGTAGTTTATTATAGCAGTATCCTTTCTTACTTTCTGGCAATTTTAGTAGTTTCTATATAATTTGCTTATAGGAGATGCTAATATACTGTAGCACTATCCTGTTTTTTAGCGCCTATAAATCGGATTTTTATTACTGCTTATACTGCAGAATCTCCCTAGAATAGTTCTATTGTGATCGTGGTAAGTGGAAATATAATTTATAAAGTAATCGAAATTATTAACTAGTTATAGAAATTGACATTTAATAATCAAAGTACCTTATGTTGCAACAGTATGCGGGGTAACGCTCGATCGATTGTCACTATGTCGCGACATACCGTGACATACCGCGACGGCAATATCAATTTAAAAAGAATAAAACTTCTTTTTTTATATTCTTTAGATAGTAAAGTATATATTAAAACTGCATTTGGCTATAAAAATTGGCAGTGGCCTTGAAAACCTAAGTGCAGTTTTCCCACTGGAGCCAGACCAAGAACGTTTGCTGTGAACGACTACGGGCCCGGCCAGGGCAACTGTCCATGAAGCTCAAGACGTCCCAACAAGTTTGAGCGAGTCCTCCCAAAGCCGACCCTCGCTCTCAGGATCATACGCATGTTTGGCGTATCCAGGACCAAATGGGGGATCCCCGTCCTTCGCAGGTTCTGCTACTGCGCAATCGGCCAGATATTTCCCCCCCTTTCCCTCCCACTGTTTGCCGATGGCCGCCCAAACAGTTGTTGCAGCGCCCTGCTCGGGGCTCTTCATTATCTTCTGCACGTCCTCGTTTGCGGCCAGAGTCGAATATTCGGCTTCTGGAACATGCTTCGTGAGACCGGTCACGATCCCACCAGGATGCAGGCTGGTGGCATGGAGGCCTTGGGATCCGTATCGCCTCTCTATCTCGTTTGCCATGTAGATGTTCGCAGTTTTGGACTGCCCGTACGAAACCCATGGATGATATCCACCACTTTGGAAGTTGTAGTTATCCGAGGCATTGATGCCGCTCATCGTGTGCGCAGTAGAGGAAAGTACGACAACTCGAGAGTGGAATTCTGGCGTCACGGCTGCTAAGAGCGCTGGTTTCAGCAGCTCGAAGAACAGAAAGTGAGACAGGTGATTGGTTCCAAACTGCAACTCGTGGCCGTCCTTTGTGAATTGAAGAGTCTGGATTGCCATGATTCCAGCATTATTCACCAAGATGTTGATTTTGTCCGTCTTAGATAAGATCTGGGAGGCTGCCGCACGAACGCTTTCCAGGGAATTTTGGTCCATCTCGACGAGCTCCATGCGACTGGGCTCGAAAATGTCCACCAAGGCCGCCTTCGCTTTGGTAAGGTCTCTGGCGGTCAGGAAAAGCTTTGCTCCTGTGGCCGAGAGGGCACGAACGGTTTCGATTCCGATTCCAGACGAGGTGCCAGTGATGACGATGACCTTGCCCTGCAGTGTGTTCTCGGCGGCTTCATCTTGGATGATCTGCAAGGCGGTAGGTCTGGCGTCCCCAGGACCTTGAGGGTTGGCGTGGGCTGCTGCGTAGCGAGACATAGTTGGTAACAGTGTTGGATGAGAGTTGAGGCTAGAAGATGATGAAGACGAAGGACAAGTGTATAGATTACTGAACATGAGTCTCCCGAGTCTTTTATACTTGGCTTGGAGGATGGAGATCCATCGTGGCCTCTATTCGACTATGAAGACTGCTTTGTTATCCGTCCATGACTCTATGACAAACGTCAACCTCCTTGTCAGTGAGTCTCCAAAGTCCGCTCATTGTCCGCCTACCATCGGGGAGTTGATCTCTCCGGTGGAATCTCTGGAAGCATCACGGCTGACCGTTTTTGCCCCATTCGTCGTAGCGTCGGAGTTGACCTGACTCGCAGCCATTTAAGCATTGTTAGCTGGCTGACTTTTCTTCCTTTTCAGGCTTAGCTATCTGGCGATTGATCAGCGGCTCTTAGATCGCGGTGACAGAATTTCCCCCTTTCGTATTTCTGGATCTGCCGGCACTGATGCGTGCTTCTGGCCGCACAATAAAAACTTGTATCAGCCTTAGAGATGCTCAGCGCCAGTCAAAGGCTCGCGGCCGAAGAGCGGAAAGAGCGGAAAAGGGTACAGAACCGACTGAATCAAAGAGCGCGCAGTAAGCCAGAAGATCCTTGCAAGCTGTCTTCCTAGCTCACCGGTCCAGGGCAACGCGCCAAGGACAAAGAAGGCAACAGTGCCAAGCCGTTTCGGGTTGACCGTTGGCGACTTGGGGAAGATTCTGGTCCTTCGACCCAAACCTCGCCGCACGACGTCCACGGTTCAGAACACATTGCCAACGACGGACAGGCTCTTCGTCACGCAAAATGTCCGACGTTACAATCTCTAACCCAGGTCTCTGGCACAACAAGTAGGGTACTTCCTGCCCTACAACCTGCATCAACTCGTCATACCGAGCTTCCCCTACCTACCGATCACGCCCTGATCCATCTAATTAACCAGAACGTATGCCGAGGGTTCATGGAGAACAAGACGATACTGAAGCTCCGGGCAAATTTCATCAACGCCGTACAAAACCCCCCGCTACCTTCCGATATCGCAGCAGCAGGATGTGGTAGTGTAGTGATACGAACTACCTACCGGACAATCCCAGCCAGTCTTTTGCCAACACAGCTCCAGATGAACTGTCCACACCCTAGCTGGATGGATATACTCCCTTTTCCACAAATTCGAGACAATCTCATTCGGCGACAATACACGTTCGACCATAAAAACTTTCTTGAAGATCTTATCGGAGACTTGATCTATCTGATGTCGTCGTGCGACCCAGATCAGGAAGGGTTGACGCCAACACCGAACCCGCGGGTGAACCGGCGGAGCCAACCCACAAACAATGGCCACTGCCTCATTCTGTGGGGAGAGCCTTACCTGAAGGAGAGTTGGGAGGCTACTCCGCACTTTCTGACAAAGTGGACATGGGTTGTCGAGGGATGCGGCGACCTTGTCGACGTCTCTAACGGGTGGCGGACGACCAGGGGTGAGGATCTTCTGCAAACAAGTGGAAGCGGGCAACCATAAGCCTTGTACATGGAGTCTATCATAGAGTTGTTTCAAGCTTTCGAATTTCTTCTGCGTTATCAGCGGCTTCCGTTAGCGAGAATCGATAATCACCCACTTGGTTATTCTGGCCAACTGGACACGGTGACGAGTCATAGAGCTAGCTTCTGAAGCACGAGGCTTCTCCGCTATCTGCGGCTGCGCGTGGTGTGTACAACAGGTTACAGCATACTGCGAGACCTCCACTGTAGAAAACTTAGGCTCTTTATTCTATTCATCAGACGCGCTCATTGGCTAAGCAACGGAATATGATCGAGAGCTGATCAGCCAATGACGATGACGAACCCCGCTCCACGTGATGCGAGTCATTTTAGTCCCAAGCACGCAGAAGCAGCATCTCCAAGCTCCCCAAGAATCTACAACCTGCTCCAGGTGCCCTCATCCCGGGTTAACCTCAAATTATGGAAAGGCCCATCGACCATGTATCATGCTTCTTGTGCGGCGCCGCCATCGACCCGTCAGCGTATCTGCCAAAATAGATAGGTCGGTTCAGAGCCCGTGAGTAGCTGAAGATTGCCAACTAAACCGTCCAAGAATTGCTGAATCGGTCCAGTATATACTGTTGGTCAAGATTGGGGTGCCGCACGTCTTTCTGGTGTTGGGAGACGGCGGCAATCTGGAGACGTCATTCCCCTTGACGAATCCATCGACGTGGACGTATCCGAGCCCATCGTGGATGAAAATTGGGTGCGGATTAACCTCCTAAAGTCACGCTTTGGCGAAGAGAATCCCCCAGGTCCTCCCATCATCTCTCAGCCCCTCTGGGGGTTTGCGCTTCACACCCGATGCTGGAGACTCTTGTGCGCCATTTCAGACATCAATTTCCGAGGCCGAAGCTCAGTCCAAGTCCTGTTTGATATCTGCAGATCGCAGCCAATCCAGTTTGGTCTGCTTCACTGGGGCCACGACTACAGCGGTCTCGTTTGCTGCTGGGGTAGTATGGAGAACTCGTGTCCCGGTGAGGAAGTGAAGTTACCGTGCAGTCAGCCGACAGACGGCTCTTACCGACATGATCCTATGGATACCCCCCATCTTACTATGTATATTCCCTCCGATACAGAGTCTACTGGTTCAGACTCCGGCTCGACTCGAAGCCAGAAGACCCGTCAACAACTCAAGCCGGTTCTCCCATCCAGCAACGATCCATTTCGCCTCCTGCCCCCCGAGCTGCTCGTCGACATCCTGGTTCAAACGAAATCAAGCGACGCGGCCAGTCTTCGACTAGCCTCTAAGACCATGGCTAATATAGGGCTGCCAGAAAAGTTTTGGCGTTCAAGATTCTGGCCTGGCCACGAATTTGAGCACGTTTTTGAGGTGGCTCGTTGGCCGACGCCGGAGGGTGGATGGAGTGCATGGCATCACAAGTTTTGGCTTCAAAGGACTGACCCGTGCTTGAAAAACAGACAGCGCGTCTGGCCTTTGGCTTGTCGACTGAGAGACTTGTTTGCTCTGGGATTGGAGTCTCCTGTTCGCCACAGATCTCCCTGCAAGTCGCTTTTCGACCTCGACGCGAAAAATAGTGATCTAGTCTGGCACACCGCGCATTCAAAGATTTTCCCGGCAACATCTACTTTCTCGGAGGGCCCAAGATCGCTGCATGATGCAAAAGTCACAATCACAGGTCCCACAGACACGGTCTAGGTATCACTCGTGGCTGTTAATGGTAACAATTATGTGTCTGGCCTTCGATTACACAAAACGACGAAGTAACTATCCAGCTCGGATATCACCGCGCTCAACGCGAGTTCGCCATCATTTGGGATGACTGCCCGGAGGTACCTCGCTCATTTGTGGGGTTTCAGGTCGCAATAGATGCTCGAGGTATCCGCGGGCTTTGCCTACTATCTAAGCAAGGCGCGCAATCTCGCTGGGTTGGAGATCACGAGACCGCTGCAAAGAAGTCCATCACTTGCAAAGATCCAACGAATGGTGGAATTGAGATCACCCAGGCAATCAAAGGAGGCTTTGACGTGAGTATCTTCGACACTGTAAAATTAATGCACAAGCAATTAATGACCAAGCTAGGCTCTAAAGATGGTGTCCATATCTGTTCACGGCCTTTGCCATGAGAATGAGAACAGGGACAAGGGGGACGAGAACAAGGCTAAATTGGGAGAGTCTGCCGTCTGGTATCCTGACCGACCAGATCCCGCCCTTCGATTCCTGGGCGTACGAGACGAGCGCCTTTCGAAACGTCTGGATAACGTCCCCAACCAAATGTGTTTGTTTGGCGGGAGGGATGGACAACTCCTTCCGTATCTCACCCACGTCGAAGTTACCATAATCGACCGTTCAATCTTAGGCACTTCCACTGACTACACTGCTATCTGGGGTAACTACTACTACTTAACCGACTCAGACTAGAAGCTGAATATATAGTAAAATTACTAATTATAAAATACAAATATATAATAAGGTCTTCTAATTTATTCTATTTATTTAGTTTTTTTAGCTTTACTTAATATCATCAGATAAATTAGAGCTATATAGTAATTTCAAATAGTAGAAATAAATAATAAGTACTATACTCAGTACCAGAAGAAATAGTAGCTAAATAATAAGGTTATTGCCTACTAGTCTCTACCTAAAGCTTCTATTTAACCCCTTTAACTTTAACTCTACTATCTATAGTTAACGACCTTAAGACAGTAATCTTATTCTAAGCTATAAAATATAAGAGAGACTAACTATCTTCTATTATTAAGAGATTAACTTCCCTTTTAATACTTATTCTATTATAACTAATTTTTAATATAGTAAATGTTACTTAAGTAGCTTTTTCTAGGGATAATTTATTATATTTATATTATAAATTTTAATTTTAATATAATTTTAGATTTTCTTAGAGTTTAAAAGATAAATTAAAAAAATAAAAGCTAAATTTCTTCTTAAGTTTTTTTAAAAAAAGAAATTTATTTAAGCTATTATTATATTATTTATAATATTTAAATAGAAGCTAATAGATTATATTAGCTATTTTTAGATATTATTTACTTTTTAATAATAAAATTAAAGTTAATAAATAAAGAAATTAAATTCTTATTTATAATTTTATTTTATATATTTAAATAGAAATAGCTATATTTTATAATTTAGTTAAAAATATTAATAATTTTAATTTAAGAAGTTAAGTTTTTTTTTAGAATATTATTAGAATTTAATATAACTTCTAATTTTAAAAGCTATTATATTATATTAAGTTAGTATAAATACTAGCTATATAAAGTATTAGAAAAAGGGGATTTAAATAAGAATTATTATTAATATTAGGAATTTTAAGATATTAAGTTAGGTTATAGGAGTTTTTAGTATATTTATTAAGATTAAATTAAGTTAAAAAAGTTAAATAGAATTTTAATAAAGAAAAAAGTAACTTAAAACTTAAAATTTAAGTTTTAGTAACTATAATATATATATAATAAAAATATAGTAAATTTAAATATTAAATTCTCTTATTAAAGAATTTATTTTATTTATATATTAATATTTTTTTTCTTATTATTATATTTATTTTATAAGTTATTAATCTTATTATTAACTTTAGATTTTATAGCTAATTAAAATTTAGCAGTTAAATTAAACTGCTTTTATTAAATTAACTTTTTATATAATAATATAAAACTTAAATTTATATAAATCTTTAATATATAAATATTCCAATTTTAATTAAATAATATTAAAAGATAATTCTATAATAAATTTAATATAGCTAGAATAATAAGAGCTTTTAAATAAAGTTAACTATAAAAATTAAAGATAATTATATTAATAATTAATTAATTTATTTATTAATATCTAGTAGCTTTAAATTAAAAGAATATTAATATTAATATATATATATATATTACTTAACCTTTAATAAGAGAACCTAGTATTTAAATTTACTGTATTTTTATTATATATATATTATAGTTACCAAGGCTTAAGTTTTAAGTTTTAAGCTGCTTTTTTCTTTTCTATTAGAATCCTATCTAATTTTTTTTAACTCTAATCTTAATAAATATACTAAAACCTCCTACAACCCGACCTAATATCCCGAGATTTAAGTTATTCAAATCCCCCTCTAGCTAGTACTCTTAATAGCTAGTATCTATACCAGCTCGATACAGTATAATAACTCCTAGAACTAGAAGTTATATTTTTTATAGCTAATTTCTATAAGAAATTTTAGCTTTTATTATTATTAGTATTTTTAATATTATTAGCTAGGTTATATAATATATCTATTTCTATTAGATAAATATAATATTAATATTAATAGCCTAACTTTCTATAAATTAGCTTTATTTCTATTATTAAGAAATAAACTATATCTAAAAATAGCTAATATAATTCTTTAATTTCTATTTAGGTATTCTAGGTAGTATAGTAAGAAGTTTAGAAGGTTTCTTTTTCTAAGAATTTTAGATAGTTATTTAGCTTATATCTTTTTCTTTTATTTTAAAGATTCTAATAGAATTCTATACTATATTAAATCTAGATTTATATTTTAATATATAGAGATATATATAATAAGAGCCTTATAATTAATAGTAGTTAATATAGTAATAATTATTTAGATAAAATTTATTAAGATAGAATAAGTATTAAAAGAGAAGTTAGTTTCTTAATAATAGAAGATATTTTTTTTATATTTTATTACTTAAAATAAATTACTATTTTAAGGTTATTAATTATAAATAGTAAGGTTATTAATTATAGATAATAAAGTTAAAGTTAGAGGGTTAAATAAAAGTTTAAATAGAGATAGTAGGTAATAATTTATTATTTAGCTATTATTTCTTTTAATATTAAGTATACTTTTATTATTTATTTTACTATTTAAATTATTATATAGCTTTAATTATTTAATAATATTAAGTAAGATTATAAAAAAACTAAATATATATTATTTAAATTATATTTATTTTTTAATTAATATTATATTTTATTTTATTTAATTTATATTTTTATTTTTCTAAGCTTATTTTATATTTATTTCTTATTTATATTTTTTTATCTATTTTATTTTTAGTTATAAATTTTTATAATTTAATAGTATTATTAATAAATTAATTTAAAGGCTATTTTTTAAATATTTAATATTTTATTTATAGTAATTAAAATAATATTTACTACTTATAATATAAAGTAAAAATTAAAGTTAAATTAAAAATAAAATATTAATAAAAGAAGAATTTAAATTTAAATTTATTTTTTAAGTTAGCTTATATTTAAATAACTTATAGTTAATATAAATTAAATTATTATTTAAATAGCTTTTAAATTTAGTATTTATTTTTAATTATTAAAAGGTAATTTTTCTTTAAAATAAAAAAATATTATCTTTTTAAATATTTATATCTTAAATTATTTTTATATAGTATACTATTTATTTCTAATATTAAAAAAATATTTAATTAATTAATTAATTTATTTATAATTATATATATTTAATAATATAATTTTAATATAAAAAGAAATATATATTTAATTTTATTTTATTTATTTTTAATTAAATAAAAAAATCTTTATAATAGCTAATTATAAAGTTATTTTATATATTTATTTAATAATATTATATTAATTTTTTTAATTTTTTCTTTAATTTTTTTAATAATATTCTATTAATATTAACTTTTAATTATATAATATTAAATATTATTAATTATATAATATTAAATATTATTAATTATATAATATTAAATATTAAAAGAGATTTTTTTTTATACATAAAACTAAGATTATTAAGATCTTAGCAGTCTCTTACTTAAAATCCAATTGGATATCAGAATCGAAATTAGCACGAAAATCTACCCAGGTTATAATACCGCAGCAGCAGCTGCAGGGCACCGCTAAGGTAGAGGAGCCAATGGCGGTAGATTCAAGTCGTACTAGCCTTAAAAATAGCAGCTTCCACCCCAATACAGGCCTTCCCAGTACAGGCAGCATTAACAAAACAATATCACAACAGCCTCGCCTAAAAAGAAGTAACTACTAGAGATATCAATAAAGAGAAGGCACTTAAAGAATTATCCGGCCTTATTAGGGGGAAATTCTAAAAAATATAGAGAATCTCCACCCTTACTAAATAAAATCCTATATTACTGGCAATACTGCTAAGACTACTCCTAATATACTCTAAACTAGAAAAAACAATTTATAAGGTTATATAAAGCTATCTAAGATACCAAACTACCCCCGATATATAGCTATAGCAATTTAGGCTGAAGTTATATTAACTAGATATAATATCTACTGCCCCCCTAAAGCCTATTCCTACTTATATAACTATAAATTATAGTAAAGTAAAATAACCCCCCTAAAGAGATTTATATATAAACCCCATTAAAATTATAATAGCAATTAACCTAGCTATTAAGAACTAAAAGCTATAGTAGTAGCCTGCTGCCTCTAAAGTAATAATATAATTATTACCTTTACAGCCCGTAGCTAAATATATTATAGTAGATAATAAGTTTCTAAGGCCTTTAGAAATAATATATTAATATTAAAGAGAATTATAGTATTATAATAAAAAGCATACCAGCTAAAAGTAGAAGTTAATTATAATACCTCTATAAGAAAATAAAAAGAAGAATAATATTATAGTTATTAGAATAACTCAGTATAAAGCTATAAGAATACTATAATAAGAATTAGAATAATTCTAGCAGTAAATAGTATATTAGCTGCTAACTAGCTATATAATAGAAATTAATATATAACTTAATAATAATAAATTATAAATTCTTTAAGAAGTTACTATAGCTAAATAATACTTTAACTACTATAAATAAACTATATTGCCAGATTCTATAGAAAAAAGCTTATTATAATATATAGTATTATAGTATATCTAGAAGGAAAAAAAATACCTACTATACCTAATAAAGCTATAAAATACTAGAATATTAAGGCAACTACCTATATATTAAGAAGTATTCTATAGTAAATAGCTACTAGTAATAAGCAATTCAGGCCTATCTATATAACCAGATAATTTAAAATAGACAGAACCTATAGAATACCCAAAGCCCCCTCTATAGCTAGCTAAACCTAGAAGACTATAAACTCCAAACCTCTCCTACTAAAAGAGAGCCCTAGCTGCCCCCTAGACATAAGCTAAGCAGCTAAGATAGCTAGAATAGGCCTAATACTATTACAGTAGTACTATAAAGAGCTAATAAATACCAGAAGATATAACTATTAGAAGGGCCTTTTATAGAGTATAAAGCTCTGCTCTAATAATATCTATAAGCTAACTAATTAAGGCTAAAGTAAGCTCTAGCTATACTAGAACCCCCCCTTAGTATATAAAATTAAAGATCCTTAATAGAATATAAATAAGCAGCAGCCTAATACTTCTAGCTTTAGAAGGTAAAAGCAATATAATATAATATTCTATAGAAACTATATTAAGATTCTACTATA